CTAACCGCCCTCTCAGTGGCTCCCGCATGCCTCAGGATCCGAGAAGATGGCAGGTCTGCTGTTTTATGCCCCAACGCAGCGTTTGTGCCCAAAAACATTAATACTTCCTTGAATCCAGGTCAGTTTCATTGGCTGGACTTTTTCCTCCTCCCCATAATTCTGATGAGGAGGCGGCTTCCCACCTTCTCTGCCCGGTGCGTGCGCTCGCATGATACATGTCACACACTTCAGGGATTCGTCGCACACAAAGCCTGTTTGTACACTACAGAGACTCTTCCCTTGGGCAAGCGCTGTCGACCCAGCGTTTTGCACACTGGCTGTGTGACGCCATTTCACTCGCTTACACATCATCAGGGCGGGATCCTCCTGAGACACTCAGGGCTCACTCAGCCAGAGGGATTTCCTCTTCTATGGCGCTCCACAGTGGTGTGTCAATGGAAGACATCTGTCCAGCTGCTTCATGGGCTTCCCCATGCTCCTTTACTCGTTATTACTTACGAGATGTTTCTTCAGGATCCATCACTTGTTCAGTGCTTGGATCCCAACAGGCTGAGTAAAAACATTACGGCCTCACATCACCCCTACTACAATAATACATATCCAGATCGATATGTTCACAATCACTACATATGTTCCCCTCATAATGGATCCCATTCAATCCATTACCCTCTTGTCACCCGGGCTCCTTATTGCCTTATCACCCCTCATATATGAGTCTGTGATTACTTCACTGGATCATTAAATCCATATTCTCATGGATGATCATTTTAGTGGGAACCCCACTCTTCTTTCTGGCTGCCTCAGCATTCTAAGCACTTGGGCTTAGGCTGAGCGTCCCTCTCTAAGAAGAGAAATGTTGGATGTGTCCATTTGGTTTGAGCTAACCAGTGTGGCATAAACTCATCCAGCTGCGCATTGTACCAATAGCAGCTAGCTTAAGGGCTAAGACTAGACGAAATAGAACGTTGGTTACGTATTGTAACCCCAGATTCTATGAGTCTAGTCGCAGCCCTTAAGCATTTGGCCCCACTGGTTCTGAAAGGACCAAGAGCCATCAGAGGCGAACAGTGGAGTCGCTCCACTTATATACCCACGGGGGTGCCCACCATTGGTGGGCATACATTTAAGCTCTTCATGATTGGCTGATGCTGAGATCACCCTTCCAATAGCAGCTAGCTTAAGGGCTGTGACTAGACTCACAGAATCTGGGGTTACAATACGTAACCAACGTTTCTGCCTTTGTGTCTTTGCTGGTTTCTCTGTTTTCCTCCACAGCAACCTAGATTAGCACATTGTGCACCATTATAAAGCATCTTCCTTATGCAATAACAAGCAACTTACCTTTGTTCAAAAAAGTTCTGGGGAGAAAAAGGAACTTGAAAGATGTCGCACAAATTCTTCGTCTAAGAATTGTTTATCGCACAATGGGTTTTTTTCATCACAAGTGCGACATAAACGTCTCACTCATTCTGATCTGCTCTGCTGCCGCATACAGATGAGTGGTGCGCATTGACTGTTACATAAAGGTTGCACGACACGAAAAAAAAGATGCACAACACAACGAATCGATGACGAAATGCATTGCCAAGGCATTTCTTCATCGACTTCATCGATTCGTTGTTGCCTAGTAGGAAACATAGATTTTTTGTTGTAGCATAGTGAACCAGAAACAGGCTCCCACTGTTCCAGAGCGGGTTCCCTCAGAGGCCACCCGTGCTCACTATGCCCCATGCATTATTTAGAAAACGGGCGTCTTGCTTGCATTTTGTATTGTTAAATGAAACGCTTACATGACAGTTTTGTTAGACATTATGGATCATTGTCTTAAAATGCTGGTTAGACCTGAAAACAATGTGCCTCATTGCCTAAATGCTACATTTAAAATATAAAATATCAATTTCAAATGTTTCTAGTGTTTTATTTTCCCTGCAACTAAACCATCACTATTTAAATTTATTAACATGTCAGACTTTGATGATGTGGTCGAGCTGAACCCCTGAAGTGGTTTGGAACCGAGCTTTATTACTTTTACATATTTTTGCTCACAGTTGTGTCACCACATACAACTCAAAATTGTTGAAGAGTATAAATGTGTTTTAGGAGACTTAAAAGAGCTAAAGTACCATCTTCTTTTTTTTTTTCAAAGCAAGTTAAAACCACATCCATCTTGCATCAAGGTCTCAGTTTGGTGATACTGGAGATATTTTGATGATCGAGAACCGTTCTGACTCATTTCTCGTTTACACCCGACAACGCTTTTCTGACTCAGCTGCCAAAGAGAGAAAGCGGCGAGTGTTTGTGTGTGGCAGCAGCTTTGCTGGCAGCCCATTCAGGAGCTGAGAGGCCTGGGTTTCATTTGACAGGAAAGCTGCACAGATCGTCCACAGAGGAGCTGTTGGCCAATTACTCTGTTTTCTCTCTACACTCTGTCCTTTTCCTGACTCCGATTTGTCTCTTCTGATTTATCTGTACTACTTTTAGTTTCACTATAACCCCGTATCATTTAATTCTACTGTATTATTCATAAAAACACCACTGGACTTCAAACTGTACTTGCCGTTTTTAAAGTTTGTTTTGTAGATTCCTTCTGGTAAAGTGGAACTTTCTGCATTTGAGGACACTTTAATGCTACCCCTTAAAATATGTCTCTATTTTTTCTTTGACCACAGAAGTAAAAGCACAGATATTATCTTCAAACCAGTTTTATAAAATGATCATCATTTTTATTTTTACTTGAACTTCTTGAGGTATTTTGTCAAGATGGCATGCAAGACCTTGGTTTCAGTGATAACCCACAACATGTGGTTCCTAAGTCGTGTATTTGTCTCTTCCTCCTCTGAGCGTGTATATGCGGCTGAACTCAGACAGCCCTGCAACAGGAAACGCAGTAGTGAAGCTGACTCTAGATGTATGAAGCCAAACTTGCTGTTGGTGCTTTATGTGAAAGGCATCCATATGTCCAAAGCTTTTTGCTGTCTCGCAGGGCCAATGTGACTTTTGTCTAATGGAACATTTTGCACGTTTCAGCACAAACACACAAATGCAGATGCATAAGAGATGTCAGCTTCCATTAAAACACCACAGAGGAGCCACTCCCCATTTTCGTTCTTATTCTAAAGGACTCCATTAGAAAGTAGTGAATCATCAACACGAGATACATTTAGGCAAAAAAGTGTTTAGCTGACCACCATTTGGAGGCTCTGAGTGTTGGGCAGGCGCCACTGCATCGAAGACTCATTTTTATGTGGTGGCATTTCAGCATTAGGGATCGCAACATTGCCTTGATCTTATTGCCTTTTGGCTGGTTTAAAATGTTATTATGTTAATTTCCTGTTTTCAACATTCGTTCAACGTGTTTATGAATGTTTTTAGGTTTTATCTTTCTTTTAATGATGCACAGCGTTGCATTTGTTTCTATTCTGAGTTTTATGGTTGTGTTCAGCACCTTGGTCGGCTGATATTATTATTTATAAATAAACCAATGACTGAATGAATGAATGAATTACAAAGGGTCGCAAACACACGCCGCTGCCGCTGGGGACTCAAATCGTGCCATGCGAGACGTGTCCCCCTGCTTAAGCCAGTACACGTGCAAGCCCGTCTGTCGTTTGCTGGAGAGCATTTGGATGATCCAGAGGAGGATTGGGAAAATGTCAGATGGTGAGATGAAACCAAAATAGAACTTTTTTTTGTAGAAAATTCTATTTGTCATGTTTGGAGGAGAAAGAATGCTGAGTTGCATCCAAAGAACACCATACCTACTGTAAAGCATGGGGGTGGAAACGTCATGCATTTGGGCTGTTTTTCTTGCAAAAGACCAGGATAACTGATCCGTTTAAAGGAAATGACGAATGAGGCCACGTTTCATCAGATTTTGAGTGAAACTTTCTTCCATCAGCAAGGGCATTGAAGATGAAACGTGACTGGGTCTTTTCTAGCACAGTGCCTTGGAGTGGCTTTGTAAGAAGCAATTTAAGGGTCTGGAGTGGCCTAGCCAGTCTCCAGATCTCAACCCCATAGAAAATTGTTGGAGTTAAAAGTCTTTGTTGCCCAACGGCAGCCCCAAATCTTCACTGTTCTAGATGAGTTCTGCAAGGAGGAAAGGGCCAAAATACCAGGAACAGTGTGTGAAAAGCTTGTGAAGACTTACAGAAAACGTTAGACCTTTCATTGTCAACAAGCAGTGTTTAACAGAGTATTGTGATGGACTTTTGTTATCGACCAAATACTTATTTACCACCTTATTTTGCTAATAAATGCTTTAAAAACAAACTATTAGATTTTCTGGATTTTTTTTCCTTTTGTCTCAAAGTTGAGGTGTACTTATGATGAAAATTACAGTCCTCATCTTTTTAGGTGGGAGACTAAATAATTCTTTGCCCCACTTTATGACCACGTGAATTTTGAGGCCAGACTTCTTTAAAATTTTAATTTCAGCCATTTTTCTTTTAAAGTTGATTAGTCGTGGTGGCCATCTTGAATTAAACTCCCATAGATGCATATAAAATCCATGATCTAACTTCCTGAAGGAGGTTTTCTGCCAGAGTCCCATTCTGCAGAATCATCTACCCAACATTTTCTTTTACTACATTTTTAAAGAAATCCATTCATTTCAGCTTATTTATAGTTTATAGCTCCAAATCACTTAAACGTCGCCTCAGGGAACTTCACAAAGTAAGCATTCCAGTTGAGTTGAGTTCATTGTGGCAGTTAGTTAAAAGTTTCCTATTTAAGGAAACTCAGCAGATTGCATCGAGTCACTGACTTGTTGGGTGACTTTACAGCAATCCCCATTCTAAGCAAGCATGTAGTGACAGTGGAGAGGAAATCTCCAACAGAACCTGGATCAGTATGAGCATCTGCCACAAATCACTGGGGGTTTAAAAAGACAAGCGCACATGCAGACGCGCACACACTCTCACACACACCCTGCACACCACTGCACAAATTACGATTCATCAGCATCAAACACTAACCAGTGATTCTTTCTATTCTTTCAGGTCTGTCCTCAGCAAAAAGGAAGTTTGCCGATTCTCTCAATGACTTTAAGTTCCAGTGTATTGGAGACGCTGAGACGGATGATGAGATATGTATAGGTGAGTGTACTGATATGAAATCCTACACATCCGTTTACCAGAATAGAAACGTCTTTAAATAGACTCCAGACACTTATCGCTGCTGAAGTTGGAACAGCCAGCTCATTTTGTCTCAAACTATGTGGCTTTTTTTCAACTTTTATTTTAAATAATTTAAAACCTTTAAACATTTTTTTGGCCCCTAACATGAAAAAGATGTTAGTCCGGTGTTATGGACTTGGTGCAGACCCAAACCTGACCCGTGTCGGCGTGGTTTGGTTGTACGGTGAAACCTTCAGATTCCATGTCGTCATCGGAGCCTCTCCTGTCTAAACATCCAGCTGTGTCAGTGGGAGTGAAGTCGCCACACCCTCCCATGCCGTCTGGCTCTGTCTGTGCAGGCCGCCGCTCTTCTCTGCGCGGACCCACCCACCGCTCTTGTTTGATTATCCCCAGCTATCTTTCCTGAACAGCTTGCTGCTCAACTGGGCTGCTAGTTTGTAGAGAATCATAGACTGATGCCCCAAAGTAATACTCTCTCAGCTGCAGCCATTTTACACAGTCGGCAGCAAATCAGCTAAAAAGAAACAAAAGCTTTTTGTTGGGAAATCAGGCTCGTTTAGGTTTCGTTGTTCTACATGACTGATTTCATTATGTTTAAAAGGCGTGGTGGTTGGTAGACAAACTTTTCCGTCACTCTTTATTTTTGCAAGCATTTGCACATTCTGTGTGTGTCTGATTGTACTTCAGATGAACAAAGGATGTTTATTTATTTATTTATTTTTTTGCACACCTCAAGTGTTAGACAGGCAACTGAAGTGGAAACTGTAATCCAAACAATGTAGCAGTGCCTCATTTTCCAGAGAGGAGACAAAAATGCTTGAATCTGTGCTAGGGTTGTCACGGTATGAAAATTTAACCTCACGGTTATTGTGACCAAAATTATCACGGTTTTCGGTATTATCGCGGTATTTTTTAAACGGTGTTGCATATGTTCAGAAAGCATTGATAGTCCTGTTCTACACAAACTGAAATAGTTCTGAAAAGGTTTAACAGTGTTTATTAAACCTAAAATAACACAAAGCCTTAGCAAAAGTGCAACTTTTCACAAGTAAAGGAACAAATAGCTTATTTTTCTGGAACATGTTACAGTAGTCAGTGCAGGTTTAAATTATACAAATCCAAACATTCAAAACATAAACAATATGTAAACAAATCAAAGAAACACCACTTGTTTTCTCATATACTTGTTTTCTTCATTATCAAAATGAAAATCTAAAACTCCACTCCACACTTGACTTGAGCGCTGTACAAGTCAACCTTAAAAAATATGTATTTAAAATAAATAGCCACTTTAAACAAATTACTAAAATAACTACTACACTAATCAAATCCAAATGTTCAAGTATAAATGGCATTGAATAAGTAAACAAATCAATGACAAGGAACTAATTGTATATTTCTCTTCATCATCAACAAATAAGATGCTTCATCCAGCAACAGGGTGTCCGTGACACGGTTTAAATGCTGGCAGAGGACGCTGCGGCTGCAGTATGTAGTGACTCGTTGCATTCTCCCTCAACCAAAAGTCCTCACGTCATGCATTTAAGCTAAAATGCTAATGTTAACTTACCTTGCACTGGCTCTAGAGACGTGGGTGATGGTCACGCAGATGTGCCATGAGATTCGAAGTGTTGCTGCCTTTTGCAGACACTTGTTTCCTGCACGTTCTGCAAACGGGATAGCAGTCTTCTATTAACTGTCCTTCAGCATTTTTCAGAAATCCAAAATATGCCCATACTTCCGATTTAGTCTTCTTTGAGGGCTGATGGATGTCCTGGGCGCTGCCGTCTCCTCCTTCGGCCATTATTTCAGCTTCAAAGTTTTGGTGCCGTTGCAAACTAAAAAGTGCGTGTGCGCGCCGCGGGAACTTCAGCTGAAGCGACGGTGGCTGGTAAGGGTCATCGCGCCGAAACCGCGGCCACGGTAAACCCACCGAGATAATATAGTTTTTTAAAAACTGGACGGTTATTTTTATTGTCAACTTTTTTACCGGGGTTTACCGCTATACCGGTTACCGTGACAACCCTAATCTGTGCTCACAGGGTAAAGAAAACATAGAAACAAATCCTGTAACTCTTGGTTTTGCTTCTAGTTAATTACTCTGCTATAATGAATTTAGAGGAAGATGTCCCAGGAATGCAGACTAATACCAGTTTTTTGTGCTTTTCTATTCTTGTGCTGAACATGAACAGATTTTAATTGAACCTGAGTCAAAATAACGCATCTTCCTCTGTGTTTTCTCCTTTTCCATTCTTCGTGGACACCATTACTCACAGCCAAGTCGCTTCAGGAGTTTGCAACTGTTTTACAAAACCTCGAGGATGAGAGGACAAGGATGGTGAGTGGCCCAAAGTATTTGCTCTACTATGATTTTAGTAAACAAACAGATAAAACGTATTCTGTTAAAGAAAAAAAAAAGTCGCTAATGGTCTGACAATTCAAAGTATCTTTTAAAAATAAAACAACTAATGAAAATCGGACTTTGCTTTTGAATTGTACTTCAACAGAATAATAAATAGATATATTTGAAAAGTAGGGTTTGGATGAGAATGGAGTAATTTCTGTAACCCTCGAAGAGACGGGTAGTTTTAGCCCACTTCTCTTGAGCAACTGCTCCAGTTATCCCAAGTTCAAAGGGTTCCTTCTCCAGACACATCATGTTTCATCTCCTTGCACAGATGCTCATCAGGTTTTAGACCAGGACTCATAGAAGTCTACTTCAGAACCGTCTAACATTCATTCTTGGTGTTTGTAGCTGTGTAGCGTCCAGCAATGGCCGCTTTTCAGCTGGCTCTGTTGGAAGACCTGCAGCTGAGACCAAGCTCTCTGGCACAGTTAGCTTCAGAATGCTTTCATGGTCTTGAGGTTTCGTTTTACCCCGAACAGTTTCAAGATAACCTTCTTTATGATTTGATGTCCTTCACCCTCACCGTTTCATTAGGTCCACCTTAGCTTGAACAATGACAAATGGCTTGATTTGACTCTGTTCCCCTCTAATTTCTTAAGAGGTTGTTCAGGTCTCTTTCAGTTTGTCATTACATTTCCTCTTCCAGCCACACCCAGAGAGGTTGTCTATAGTCCTGTGGACCTTAAACTCGTAAAGCAAAGGTGTCCAGTCTCAGAAACATCATCAAGCATCTTCCCTGGATCTGTGTCCACTGGACTGGAAACCTAGCCTAGTGAACTAGACCAAATTCTTGCTTTGCAAAGAATGGTCTAGGCATGCTCCATTGGAACCTCAGCAGCTCCTACCAGGACTCTGGCTAGCCAATCACAGCTCTCTAGAGGGGTTTCAAACACATAAAGAGCTGTGATTGGTCCATAATGGTGGGCCAATCATAGTGCTCTATCTGCTTAGTGAACAAATCACAGAGCTTTATCTGCTTTTTGGGCCAATCAGGGCACTCTATATGCCTGGTGGGTGGGATGATGCAACAGAGTGAAACAAGAGTATGTCACATTCTTTGTCCAGTGGAATGCGGAGATCATTTGAAAGACAACGGTAGAACCCGCCCCACAGCCGAGAGCCGTCAATGGAGCGTGGCCAGACTAAATAATACATTTATTTAGTCTGGCTTGCCAGGCTACTGGAAACCTGCATCACCAGAGGAAACAAGAACACTAAATACTAGTCAATGTTTTCTGTGGCTTCAAATGATGTTTTTCTTTTTGGTACTCTGGTAGATTGTCCTAAAGTTGATGTGGTAGCAGCCGGCTGTTTCTTCTTTAATATTATTGAGCAGAGAACCTCTCACGCCAGTGGTGTTCTGTTGCTAACTGGAGGAGTTCGATCAGACCAAATACCTGATGGTCCGATAGTTGATTTTGGTCCCAGCCATGTTATTGGCAGAGATTTTTAGACAAATAACACAGGTGTCAAGGTCACAGTAAGGTCACAGTCTTTCTGGTGAACAGAGTTGTTATGAAAAATAGTGACTGAACGTTGTTTGCAGTCTATGGCCGCCCAGTGGGATCAGCCCACCGGTCTGCAAATAACCACTAAAAATACTCCCAGGGAGTTGCGAGAACAACTAGACAATGAGGGAGTAGTGGTGTCAACACTAGCAACTACTTTTTGGAATCTAAGAAAAGAAGCGTAGAGGCTAGCACTTTTTTCCTGTAATCGTTGTTGTCTTGGGTATCTGTCGGCCTTCAGTGATAAATGTTGCGTGTGATTTTGGCGAGTCCTGCTAGAGGGAGACATTGTGCAGTTTGACACTCTGAAATCGGGGCCATGTAGTGTGGTACCTCTAGCGCTTGTACTGTGTGAACCAGGCTTAACCTAAAAGATGTAGTAAAGCTTAAAAAGACGTCTATTGTTGCATTTGTGAAAACCAAGCAACAAATCATCATGTTGGTCATTCATGGTTAAAAAAATTCAGTAAACAAGTGTGCTTGCTAATTAATTAGAATAAAAATTTGTGTTTTTCTCCCTTTGTAGATCGAAAACGCCAGTGATGTATTGATTATGCCCCTGGAGCGGTTTAGGAAAGAGCAAATCAGCGCAGCCAAGGTAAGAGTAGCGGCCACAGGATTGCCAAAAGATTCAGTAGAATATTGTTACACGTTTCATGGTTCTTTACATTATCAAATTACTCCCTTCAGTCTTCCTGCAGCAAGCTTCCACATTAACTCTCAAGCCCAGACCATTTCAGGCTCCTTTCCACCGGCATCAAAGTGTAACATTTTGGACGAGCCCTAGAAGCAATGGAACGCTATCATTGCCTTTTGAGTTTATTTTCTACGCGCTACGTTTCATGTTTACGTTTGTTTATTTATTTAGCAGACACTTTTATCCAAAGCAATTTACAATTTATAACCTATAGGGCATGTTGTGATCTGTGGGGGAAACCGGAGTACCCAGAGGAAACCCACGCATGCATGGGGAGAACACGCAACTCCATGCAGAAAGGCCGCGGCCGAGTTTCGAACCTGCAACCTTCGTGCTGCGAGGCAGCAGTGCTAACCACTGCGCCACCATGCAGCATGCGCCATGTTTCAGGTCTATATTTTATGAGCTACGTTTCAGGTCTATATTTTGCGCGCTATGTTTCGTGTTTATTTTTTTACTGGCCAAGTTTCAGGTCTACTTTTTACGCGCTATGTTTTGGGACTATATTATACACGCTATGTTAGGGGTCTGTATTTTTCGCGTTATGTTTCCAAAAATGCATAAAACTCTGTGGTTTGGATCGAGCCAGACAGGAAGTCAAACACGAAGTAGTGTGAAACATCCAGAAACTTTCAAAATAAAAGTCACGTGCAGCTAAACAAACGTAATTTCCTGTGAAACCCCTGTAGCCGACGTAAACAGAACAGAAAATAAACCAGACCTTTTTGGATACATTCAACCATCGTTCTCCTTGCTTGTTATTGTGTGGACTCCTGAAATCACGTTTGGTGTTGCAAATCTCCAATGATTTAGTGACTTTGTGGAACCATCGGTGTGCAACGCATTCACTCCCATTTCTCATTTGAAACCCTTCCGATTTGGAGGGTGCTTGTGGGTAAAATGCTGCTTTCACGTCTGATGGAAAGGAGGCCTTATGGTTGTTTTCCTCTGAGGAGAGTAAATTGAAATTTTGTGGCGTTGTGAAGCGGTATCCGATTAGAAAAATGTTTAAATGAGATTTGTGTTTCCACACTAAAGAATTGTATTAATGGCTGTTTTGATCCTTTGAACATATTTGGAGCCAAAATGCTATGAAATAATAAAAATCCTCTTGAAGCAAGTTCAAGTTCAAACTATTGTTAAAATATGCAATTGAAAAAGTTACCAGACTATATGTGTCTGTCCTCTAAGATATCTAAGTTAATGAAATAGGATCATAAACAATGATGGCCTGTTTCTCTTTGTTTATTTGAACCTGTAAACCCAAATAAATGGGAAATTAAAAGAAAGTTTAATTAATAATTACTAAATTAGGGGGGAAATTTCAGTATTTTCAGTGTTTTTTAATCTGCTTGCATAACTCATCATCAGTAGTCATACTGTGAAGATGGCAGCAGGACTTTCCCTAAACAGTCCTTGTTAAACATGATGTCATCATGCACAGCCCACCAATCCCCTCCTTGTTGCAGGTCATTGTCTGATGTCGGGATCAGATTAAGAGATGAGTTCACAGTTTATGAGGCCACCGTGACTGATGTGCTAATCCAGGGTTTGCTCTAAAATAACTGTTAAAATCATCCCCTTGCACAGTTTCTCGTCATAAAGTGACAGAGCGGGCTGATCTTCATCTCAGGACACATTTTATAGAATTACAACCTGCTGATAAATAGTTTTACCTAAATACACAGCGCTGCACATTATGGGGAATTAAAGGGAACTCTGGTCTGGGCTCTGATCTCATCCACAGAAGAATCCTTTCTGAATGAAACGACCGAATAATCACAGTAAATTCAATACCAATTATAGTACAATAAGAATAAAACATGTGAGCTACAATGGAGTCATTTAAGTAAACACATCGAGTACATGCAGGGAAAGATGAGTTATGTGTTCGTCATGCACATATTTAGAAAAGTGTTAGCTATGCCTATTTTTGTTTCAAGTGTCTTTGGAGTGAAACACTTTCAAATGAGTTTACCAGTGTATGAGTTTTTTTTCCTTCTTTAAGGACAAAAAGCAACAGAAACGGTCTAATCCTGTCGTTTTGTTGTCATGTGATGTCTGGAGTTCTTGTTGTTGCAGCACCTTGGGGTGTTGGAGGATGCTGTAACAAAACAATTCATTACTGGGAAATGTTCTGTGTGATTCTGAGGAGATGCTGCCACCTGCTGGCAGGCAAAAGAAGGATCACTAACATTTTACTAAGGTTTAGTAGCTTCTGTCTTCTTATAGTTTGATGGGAAACGAGTAAGAAAGGATCTCAGACTTGCTATTATTTCCAACTGTTTCCGCCAATGCGTGTCTTTAAAGTAGAAATACTGATTACAGGGCTGAAGAGTCATTTCAGGAAGGATCTCCTCAGAGAATTTGAGAAATCAAACAGGGGCCTTGATGTTTGAAGCAGCGCTCATTTCTGACGACTTCTGCAGCTGTTTCCGTTCCTCCTTTGGGCCAGAGGCATTCATATGCTGTAAAAACGCTCGGTAACAAACTCCGTAGCATCGTTTCATCAGAACAACAAGAAAATAACTTGTTATCCAGACTGTTTAGGTTGGAAATATTTAACAGGCATTTCTTTACGTATTTAGGCGAGAATGACAAACATAAGCATATGTAATGTACTCAGTGTGGCTGGTTTTGTAACATTCTTTGTGCTTTGAGTTTAGTTTTAGGAAATGGTAGTTAAAAAAAAGACCAAGACGTGTGTATCGGCCACTCCGATAAGAGGAAACCCGTCCTGATCTGCCCTCATTTATGTGCTCACCTCCTGTTCTTCCCTTCATGCCTTCCTGCACCAGCGGTGGGACGTTTTTATTGTTCTAGAGAAATCTACAGGTTGCATTTTGCAGCCTTTAACACTGTTATGCATTACAAAGGGTAATAATCTACTTTTAAACATTTGTGTCTCAATCTAAGATTAATGGTTGCTGCATTTGCTGCATCTGTATTTAGCTTTGCATAACAGAGAAAAGCCTGAATAAAATACGTTTGTGAATCAGATTGGTGGTTTTTGGTGAAACCTGTGTCTCAAGAGCCAAGTGTGATTTTATTTTTTGTAGTTTCTATGTAAACAAACTATAGAAAAGGGTACATTCGCTAATTTTAAGGAAAGACACTAATAATATTAATAAAGACACTAATAATACAAATGAGTGGACTACCTGTGCCAACTCAGTTTTTAGTAGAAGTTAATATAAAGATTCTGGTAACATATTTAAGTAACTTTACAAAAATGAGCTAAATATGGCTTGAAAGATCCTCATCTTTGCTGTTGAGCTGTGTTTACTCTGACGTACTCTACGATCAGTCTCCTAATGGTTTAGAAAACGTTCGTTTTTCAAAGTCAACATGCTGTACAAGCATTAAAGCACAAATCCGGAGTTTTTTCAAAGGGCACCATCTAGAGGCTGAAAATGTATTGCACTTTAAGCCTCTCATTCATGAATGCACACCTCAAGAGGGCAACAGAGCTAAAACATCGTTTTACAATTATTAAAACTTTATGCTGTTTCCTTACTTGTCTAAAGGAACTGTTGCTAACTCTGCAACTCTGCAGGGACTCTCTGAATTATGGCAGTTAAAGGCTTTCAGACAGCATCAATTCAGAATCTTTAAGAATCGATCCTGAATCTTTCTAAATATGAATCGCGATTCAGATGTGAATCGTTTACTTTTCCTGACGCCTCTAATGGACGTCCTCAAGCACTCGTGCACGTTCTGTGATTGACATCTGTACGTAAGTGGATGTCTAATGCTATTGGCTAATACTTATCAGTGTTCAGTTCAAATTTCATGGGGCAAACCTAATTCTTGAAGGGAGGAAAACTCTGGATTACTGCTTTAAGAAGGTTTGCCAATCCGTTGTAAATGAGAATCTTAAGGCATCAAAATGTAATGGCGTACAAACAGTTAAATTTTCCTTATAATAAAACATGTTATTATACATTTATTTATTAATATTTTAACAGCACATGCATCATGTGATGCTCCGCCTCTTTAGCAGGTTTAGTACTTTCTGAAAAAACCCTTGCATTGAATGCTACACTCATATTGTGCCCTCTGGTGGACAATCTATGCATTACCACTGACTAGTACCAATTTTATTAAAGTTTTTTTAGATAATTAAAACAAATATAGTTTTATACCAGCAATAGTTTAAATTGTGCATTTTATAATTTACAACTCACATTTCAAACGGAATTGTACATAAATCTGTACTTGTTACTACTAGTTGTAGAAATGAAAACTGAATATTTTCTTTTCTGCTTACTAATACATGGCCTGTTTTTGATATAACACCTTCTAGAGTCCCGGAGCCCCCCAAGGCTCTTTACAACACAGTCAGTCATTCACCCATTCACACACACACACATTCACACCCTGGTGGGGATGAGCTACAATGTAACCACAGCTGCCCTGGGGCGCACTGACAGAGGCGAGGCTGCTGAGCCCTGGCGCTGCTCTGACCACCACCAGCAGGCAAGGGGGGTTAAGTGTCTTGCCCAAGGACACAACAACAGTGACAGACTGAGTGGGGCTCGAACCTGCAACCTTCCGATTACAGGGCGAGCACTTAACTCCTGTACCACCGTCCTGTGAATCCCCTCTCCCCGTCTCGTGAATTAGTTTACAGTTAAGCCCTTTTCAGATTGACATTCTGGAATATGTGTAGACAATTCAGTCCAGGTTTTAACCAGAACTGTGTTTTCAGACACAACACTTTTGTACCTGAACTTGTCCTTTCGGCTGCGTTCACACAGCAGGGAAAAGTTCCAGATGTCTGAGGGGGAGGGAGTGGGAAGGCTGTACCCGGGTATTGCGTAAACATAGTGCGGCGGGCGTACATGCGTCATTTACCCAAACAAAGTCATTCAGTCAAACATGGCAGACGAAGAGATAGAATTCCTCTCACTGATCGGACTTATGTTAAGCATAATTCTGCGCACCCGAAGAAACATAAGAGATCTGAATGATGAAGCTCAATGGTTAATAAAGGAATCACGGAAGTGGTGTGAAGCGCTCCGTCGCGCGTCTAGGAGACGGTACCGTAGGAGGCGAGCTGCCATGGTTCGCCGCATGCTACAGGAGCGAGCTATCTAGGTGCGCACAACGTCCCCCAGTCCCCTCCTCCCCCTCCTCCCTGTCCGGAACTTGACCTCACCAGTCTGAAGCAGCCACCTTGTCCGTGACAAGTCCGGACCTGTTACTAGGGGCGTCGTCCGGTTTAATTACGGAAAAGGTTGTCCGAATGTTTGTATTCAGACACAAAGGTCTTACGGACAGAGTCCCGAACATTTCCGTTTTTCATGGCCTGTCTGAAGGGGGCTTTAGAGAGACCATTGGACAGACTTTTAACCGTTTTCCCCCTGCGTGTTCCAGCTCGGCGTGCACGCCCAGTTCATCTCACGTGCACGTGTTCTCATTCTCACTTGTGATGAAATAGCCCATTGTCTGATAAACAGCTGTGCTCCTCAGAGGGACTAGCTCACTCCAAGTTCTCTGAAAAATGGAAAATATTATGTGAAAGGGGAAAAAACTCCCAACGATGACGTCCATTTTGTTTTTTATGTTACTGATGAAATCACTTACAAAGTAATATCGGATATTTCTTTATTATGTTCAGCTTGATCAGCTAAAAGTTGGTGGTTTTGGTTTGTGTGCCACAGGAAGCCAAGAAAAAGTATGACAAAGAGACGGAGAAATATTGTGCCGTGCTGGAGAAGCACCTCAGCCTCTCGGCGAAAAAGAAAGAGTCCCATCTGCATGAGGTAACAGAGATTCTACGCCTTCACCTCTGCTGCTGTTTCTCCTGAATGCTCAACTGTACTTCCTGTTTCAGGCGGACAATCAGGTGGACCACGTGAGGCAGCATTTCTACGAGGTTTCTCTGGAGTACGTGTTCAAGGTGCAGGAAGTCCAGGAGAGGAAGATGTTTGACTTTGTGGAGCCAGTAAGACCAACAGTTTGTTTTTTATTAAACCTCTTCTGGTCTTCGGAGCAGTAACTGCTTCTGTCACACCTCCCCAGAATAATAAACCTACTCAGAATAATCAGTCTCCTGTTGTTTTGTTTTGCTCCAGGGCTCTTCAGTGGTAGATTTGGAGAAAATAAAGACACGTTGTTGCACAGAATGTTTTACTCGGCTGGAAAACACAAAGTTTTAAGACTTTTTAAAGTATTTGTGTAATTTCTTATCTGCTTTTTAAAAATCTCACTTTGGATCACAGTTGTTGATCTTGTCTCTTCTCTACTCCGCACACTTGTTTGAACCCCCCCCCCCCATTGCTGTTTTATTCTGCAGCTGTTGGCATTTCTTCAAGGCCTGTTCACCTACTATCACCATGGCTACGAGCTGGCAAAGGACTTTAACCACTTCAAGACTGATCTAACCATCAGCATACAGAATGTAAGGATCCCATGAAAACACAAATATCAACTTTAACCTTTAAAGTGAAAGCAAAGACAACTTTCATTCTTTATTTTATATAATTTTCTTTCTGTAAAAACACACGTTTTCAATAAAGTTCATATCTTGGGTTTGCAGACGGGTTTTCTTTCATTGTGCGTTTCTCTCGGGGTCCCCCAAGGTTCTATTCTTGGACCACTGCTCTTCAATCTCTACATGCTCCGCCTGGGTCAGGTCATCAACCTATCATAGTTATGCAGATGACATGCAGATCTACGTAGCTGTATCACCTAGTGACTCGGTCACTGTTTGAAGCAAGCTAATGACCGGATGCAGTCAAACTTGCTCCAGTTAAAGACAAGACTGAGGTTATTTGGAAATAAGAAGGAAAGGACAGAGGTTATTGCTCGACTTGGCTCCAGAGGAATAAAGACCCAGGTTAGAATTCTTGGTGTCAAAATTGATTCAGACCTGAGCTTCACTGGTCACATTAAGGCTATAACTAGATCAGCATTTTTTCATCTTCATCAAATAGCACGGCTCAGAGGTCTCATGTCCTACAACACCTAGAGAAACTCATTCATGCGTTCATCTCCAGCAGGCTGGACCATTGCAATGGTCTTTAGGCTGGTCTTCCCAAAAAAGCTATAAAGCAGTGGTCCTCAACTGCCATTTGTGCCCCCCCCCCGAACCCTGCGTGCAGGTCCCCCCTCCCCCTGGACGACGGCCGAACGGGATGTGTGCTTCCACATAGAGGGTTGGTGTAATGAACCACCAGCAGCGCTGAGCAAACACCAACCACCAACTTTTAAATCAAAAATGGAAAAGTTTATATATTCATCCGCCTTTGATTTGTTTCTTATGTTGCACCTTGTGCACTGTAACTGCTCACCTGTTAACTTTAACTTCTGATTCTCAAATCTCAATTGAATTTGTTTAATTTGATCTAAATTTATTTGTGTATTTTAATCGTGCTTTGCTTTTCTTGCTCCTGGAAAGCTCATTCAGTTGCCTCTGTGTGAAATGTGCAATACAAATAAAGGAATCCCAAGGAGTTCCCAGTTCAGACCATAAACCTAGTCCCTCCAGCGTGTCCTGGGTCTTCCTTTAGGTCTCCTCCCAGTTGGATGTGCCTCACCAGGAAGGCATCCTCACCAGATGGCCGAGGAACTTTAATATCAAATCTGCAACTGTTATGCTGAAATTGTAAACAGCATAAATGACACAGTCCCCAAATTGTTCACGAGGGTTCCCAGTTTCCTTGTGAGTTTCAGAGCCTCTCTCTTCCTTTGCTGAGAATTTCCAAATACAAAACTACCTTAAAAATAGCCACAGAGCAGTTGAGAGTGAATCTTCTGAGTTCAGTTTCTATCAGTTGAAAAGTGTGATGACTGGCTGACTTGTGGACTTTGGGGCAAAATTAGAATCAGATAAATCGAGTGTTAACTTTGAATCAAATGACAATAAATTGCAAACAGCTGCACAGATTAGCATTAGCAAAGCTTCTGGTCATCACAAAATCTGAGATTTGGTGGCTGAATTTGTGGAAGAACAGCTGACCTGCTTCTCTTTTTATGTCTGGTCCAGTCACAAATGAAACATGTCTAATAATGAAGTCAAACCGCCGCAGTAACGAGCAGATAGACATCTGTTAGAATGGTCTAAGCATAAGTTTTGTTTGTGCTACAAGCTCAACCGGGTCAAAGTGTTTAAATGGACGTTTCTGTGCTTCTGCCTTTGCAGACGAGGAACCGTTTCGAGAGCACACGGTCTGAAGTGGAGAGTCTGATGAGGAAGATGAAGGAGAATCCACATGAGCACAAGAGTGTGAGCCAGCACACCATGGAGGGCTACCTGTTTGTTCTGGAGAAACGTGAGTGTCAGCCTGATGGTCACGTCCTGATGTAGGCGCCAAATCCACCAGCTTACACCGGGTCATTTTACAGCACACACACACACACACACACACACACACACACACACACACACACACGCTCTCATTACCAAAGCAGAAGAACAAACAAACCATAATGAGCCGACAGTTGACAAAGTCAAGTCTGATCTGCCGGGGACGTGACAGCCGCTGTTCTTGTGTGGTTGCCACGGTAACACATCTGCCGCTTAAGGAGGCCTGACTCATGCGTCTTTTGTTTTTTGTCGTCGTTTCAGTCCTGTCTGCCTTGATGTCTGTTTTCTTCCTTTCGTTTTCATTCATTTTTTTCTCTTCTTATTTCCGTAAATCTTTGTTTTGTTTTGCGTTATTTTTTCATGATTTGTCATTTTTCCTCAGGCTCATTTGTATCTACCTGGGTCAAGTACTACTGCACTTATCATCGTGAGCCCAAGAAGTTCACCATGGTCCTGTTTGACCCCAAATCTGGAGGCAAAACGGTAAACCGTTCACCAGTCATCCAGGACAACACCTGAATGCAGCTCCTCACGGAGTTTTCTGACCATTTTGGCCTCACCTTGAGTTTAGTTTGAGTTTATTGTGATTTGATCTCACTTTTGGTTCATGTTAATCATCTTTGATCTAAAACGTTGAGTGACTACTAAGCTATTATTCACAATGTAACACTTGTGATGGATTATGTATGAAGAAGAAGAAAAAGAAGAAGAAAATATCATGGAATAAATGGCACAATAATCTAAAAGTAAACTTTTTTATTTAAGTGTCAAAACAGAAAAATTTGCATCGGGTAATAGTCCAGTTAGCATTATAAACTTAAAACCACAAGATAAACACGAAGCCTTTAAAATGAGTAAGTGGCAAGTTTCTAAAAGCGTTTCTAAAACTTTGATTTATGTTTTAGGGAGAAGAAGAGAGCTTCATCCTGAAGTCCTGCACCAGGAGGAAAACCGAATCCATAGAGAAGAGGTTCTGTTTTGATGTTGAGGCTGTGGACCGGTTAGTGTGTTCTTTTCAAATCATTTTTTACTCACATTGCTTGAGTGGGACTGGTTTTGTAAGGTGTTATGGCTGCCTGAGGACACATGGGGATGCTGTTCAGTTGATGCAAGAGCACATCAAATGACCTCAGAGGCAGCTGTGTTTGGCTCCACTCCTCCACATCTTCAGTCGTCTTCACTCTGTTCACCTTCTTTATCTCATTTTACTGTTAATATTGGTGTAAAGTATACAATTAAAAATACTAATGCATTTTAGACACAATTCACTTCCTTAATTGTTTCTAAGCGACTCTTTCCTGTAAACTGAAGTTTTCTTTTCCTTCCAACCTTGAATAGAGACAAAGTTGTACCTTTTCTGCAGCACACTCCTCAGATTGTGTCTGCTCTGGGGTCAGAGCGTGGCTGGATGTGTGATGGTGTCTATTGGATAGTGTGTCACAAACCGAGCAGAGTGTAGTGATGAGCTGAAGATGAATGTGCCGCTCCTGCAGAGGATTGATCGGAAACTTGTAGAGAACTGGGTTGAACTTGCCTAATGAGGCCGTGTGAGTGACTGTTGTGAGCATGTACACACCCATGCACACACACACACACACACACACACACACACACACACACACACACACACACACACACACACACACACACACACACACACACACACACACACACTTGTACGCACCTGCTGAATGATGACTGTCAGGATGATGTGTCTAAGCTGCTCAGCCCAATGAAATCCTGTGTGTTTGAATAATTTTCAGGCAGCTTTTTTCCACTTGTTCTGATCCTTTTATGGTGAAAATCTGATCTGGAATCTGTTTTACTGCATCCATTTATGAGCATGATTGAAAAAATGATACAAAACAATTTTCATTTCAGAAAAAACAAAACATTTGTCAAAAGTTGTGTTTTTTTCTTCCTATGTGTTTTGCATGAGATGTCTAATTAGTGTCACATCTTCACCCCACCCTGAGTAGAAAAGACTATTTACATGTTTATCATGTACTTGTTCTGTTTTGTGTAGCATGTTGATCTAACTGTGTGTGTGTGTGTGTGTGTGTGTGTGTGTGTGTGTGTGTGTGTGTGTGTGTGTGTGTGTGTGTGTGTGTGTGTGTGTGAAGGCCGGGCATGATCACCATGCAGGCTCTGTCAGAGGAAGACCGCAGGCTGTGGATGGAAGCTATGGATGGTAGAGAGCCGGTAGGTTGCCATGGTTACCGGTTTGTGCTTATGTGACGAAGACAAACAGTGACAGACAGACAAGAAGAAGAGAGAGACGGTGTGTTCTCTGAGTCGAACAAGAGGTTGCGTTACATTTAAAACAGATGTTTGTGTTCATCCAATTCAATTCAATTTTATTTATGTAGCGCCAAATCACGACAAGAGTCATCTCAAGACACTTCACATAATAAACATTCCAATCCAGGTCAGTACATTAAGCCAGTCAGAAAAAAATGTTTCCT